TAAAATTAAATGTAATTTTTAATCCTCTGAATTCCGTATTGAATTCCGCCGTTCTCCACACGCTTCTTTTGGAACAACAGCTGTGAGAGTTAAAGGTCGCGGAACTATTATATTTATACTCTCTTTTTACCATGCTAATTCTCTGTCCTCAATAATCTAAGGACTTAAACTGTGTGTAAGCTAGCTTTAAATTCTTCTTGGTAGAAAATACAATAACACTGATAAACAGATATGTTCAAATTCAAGTTTTCTCCTGTTTTTATTTTCTTCTTTATTCTTTCGCGTATAATATATATTTAGCAGCATCTGCGAAGTCCAGAGATGGTCTACTTTCATTGGACAAGTTTCATTATCTGGATGTGGCCCAAATTGACGTTATCATGGTGTACGACGATCTTGAATGCATTTTTGAATGCCTCAACCATCCTCTCTGTATGTCTGTGAACCTGGGCGCTGAAGAAAAATTGTGGTGCGAGTTGCTGCCTTCTGACAAGGAGAACAACACAAAGAAGTATTACCAAAAGAAGAGTTCACATCACTATTACTTTGAAGTAAGAAACCAATGCCAAAATTAATCTCGTTCATTCATTTTTGTATTTCTTTGTTCTCTTGCTGTCATCGAGGAATTTTTTTATTATTTTTTTCATTATCGTCATTATTTTTTTACCATCAGAAGTTGCCTTGCTCCTCTAGACGATGTCAAAACAGAGGAACTTGTCTTCATACGAAGAGAAATTACAAATTGTTTGAATGCCTCTGTGAAAACGGTTTCTCTGGAGAATATTGTGAAAAAGGTAGGTTTGACATCTTAGTTCTTGATGAAGTTGTCAAAAATTTTAGTGTCTGAAAGGTTTTTGCATTTTTGCTTTGATTATCAAGTTCAACAAAAAATTGCGATAGAACATTTCTTAAAATCATTTTAGATTAAATAAAAGGCTACTTAGAGCAATCTCATGGTATGAGATTTTTGCGGCCTTGACGTAACTTGTGATCTGGCTTTCTTTGTAAAGTGTTTTTGATCGTGGGCAACACGTGCTGGCACAATTATCGTGTTTGTAAGCGTTTTGATGGAGAAAAATTGTATTAAATTGCGAATGTGCGAAGAATTAGTTAAGATACCGGCACTGGCTTACATTGTCCTAGCTGGGCTCTTCACGGTTTACCAAAATTAACACTAAACCTCCATCCAACTACCCCTTTTTTCCCAAAAGTCTCGAGAGGCCCCATAGCGAAGTTTTCGTGTTCGTGGGTGGAACAAGATATAAATCAACGAAGTTTCACGTTAACCATTTTGAAGTAAGCTGAAGCTCACTTCATATTCGCGGTGTTTAGGTCTTCACGCACGAATCGTTCATCTTATCGTTACTTTTAGGACTCAGACGTCCATTTCTCTGCAGTCGAGTATTCTGTAGCATATTTCCTTTCCATTTTGGCTCCACAAAGGTATGTTTTGATGAAGTTTCGAATAAAAAAAAAACCATGACGCCTCAAGAGACAGGACGCCATTTTGAATTTGTCCGAGTAGTTCGGCATATCCTCAACTTTGTACCACTCCCCCAAATAAACGTACACCGTGACTTTGAACAGTGAAACTTGTCGGGGAGGGGGAGAAAAAGTGTTTAATCCAGGTTTAATGCATAAATTAATGTCCAACAAAGTGAGTGAATGGTTTTTAATTGAATTTCGCCCCCAAAACCTAAACCCTATTGCATGACTTACGTCATACCATGAGTTAAAAATTGATAAAAGACGACGATTTTAGCTAAACGTCATTATAAAGTCAAAATATGTTTGTGGGTTCCAGTCTATAAATACTGAAAAAAAAATAGCTGATTAAAAGCTGTAACGTGAGAAAAAGATGATTAAAAATATTAAACGCAAAGGCTCGCACATATGGAGTTCTTCTGATATTGAAATTAGGCTTAAGATTCTTGATGAAGAGCATTTCAAATGCTAAACAATCAGATTTTCCCTGGCACTTTCTTAAAACTGAGAATTAGTTTTCTTTTAAGAGGTTGTTGTTACCTTGAGTTTCTAAGAAATGTCTACCGATTGCCGAATTTTTGTTCTCAGCAATGCGTCGATGAAAGTGTCGGATTACAGATGATTTTCACTTGATAATGACGTTTAGCTAACGTCGAAACGTCATCATTATCATCATCATCTTTATCTGCCTTATTTTAACAATTAAAAAATAGAAGAAGAAGCCACTAGGCTTATGGGAGAGTCACCTCACTTACAATAATAAATTAAGAAAAGAAAAAGTGCTGCAAATGTGCGGCTTGGCCAATCCCGTGATTATATAAGCAAAAACTCTTGCAATTTCGCTTTAAAGCTGAGAAAGCTTGACGAACGAGTGACTGAAATAGGGAGAGAGTTCCAAATTTTAGGACCTTGGTAGAGAATTGTAAACTGCTTGACATTTGTACGGCACAAATGCGTTCGATAAGTACTGGCTGTTCTGGTGCCATAGTTGTGAATTTGGGTATTCCTTACAAAAAGATCGAGAAGCAATGGTAGCAATAAGTTATTTATTAAATAAAACATAAATTTAGCGATTTCAAACGTATTGACTTGGAAAATATCTAAAATTCCTAGCTTGGAGAATAAAGGGGCAGAGTGGTCTCGATAGTCTGAGTTGGTGAAAGCCCGCACAGCTCGCCTTTGCAAATAATAAATTATATTTAAGTTAGATACGTATGTGGACGACCAGTCGTCTTTTAGAAATATTTTTGATCTTGAAATGATTTTAAAAAATGTTTTAAGGCAATTTTTTGTTGTTAATATAAATACTTTTCAAAATCACTTCTTGTTCATATTA